ATAATAATGCAATGAACATAGGGGTATATGTATAGCTTCAAATTAACGGTTTTGTATTCTTTGGGTGAGTAACCAAAAGTGGGATAACTGGATTGCATGGAATTTCTATTTTGAATTTTTTGAGGAATCTTCTGATCAACTTTTCATGAGGTGATATATGTCAAAGTGCCCAACACTGGGCAGGCACTCTATAATTGTTAAACAGAAAATCTCAAGCATAAGCTGTTCAACTGTCAATAACTAAAGAACACATTTACTTGCTTACCAGTACTATATAGAATTCTTGGAACCAGCCTCTAGCCAGGTGACCACCTGGACTAACCAATACTCCATTTCCCCCTTTAGAGGGCCTTAGGCACCCTGCCTCATGACTGGTCACTGTCCAGCCTGTCCATCATGCTTAGGAAGGTCTATGGTACCAGAAATTCATTGTTCTGATTCCCAAAAATGTTTACACAAATGTATTTCTAATGGAAAATATAAATTTTAATTAAATACTATGTAAACCAAAGAAGTATGAGTGTAAAAGTTACTCCTTGAGAAACCATGGTGACTGCCTAACAAAAACTCATCAAAAACAGACTGCTTTAAAATTGTCAAATCTGGCAACAACAAAAAAAAATAACATTGAGAGGGTTGTTTAAAATATAGAAGATGTCCCACTCAGAATTCTTTGAAAGTCTTTTAGTTCTCACTCTGTGTGAAAGAAACAGAATGAAAATCATCAATTGTGGTTGTAGTCTAAGTTAGAAAAGCAATTTGGAACTCAAAAAATAAGCCATCCGGCCTCCCCTGGTGGCACAGCGGTTGAGCGCTGGGCTGCAAATCTGCCGGCAGCCTCTGCAGCGCCGGTTCGATCCCCGGGCCGCCAGGCGAGGGTCCCACATGGAGCGCAGACCTCTCCTGCCACGCCCGCTGCTCCCCTCAGCAGTGTATTTCATCAGTCTGCCTGTTCTGTTCCCCGCTCTGGCTCTGGTGAATTCTCTCATCCTCCCGCGCTTCTGACTGTACCCAGTGCTTGTATAAATAAAATAAGTAAATCTTAAAAAAAAATAAGCCATCATCTCTACATCCAAAATATGGTGAACAAAGACTAAGATATCTTTTTACAAAACAAAATATTGAATATTTATATGCATATCCAATTTGTTTTATTTTTTTCTATTACGGGATCCAGGCACAATACCTGAACACACAAGAGATTTCCAGTATATTAGAAACATTGTGATAGATGCATCCCAAAGTACCTTCAGATAGACAATATAGACAAACTAATTAAGCTCTAAAGCCAAGAGTTTGGCCATTAAAAACATTATCCAAGCTTTCTATAGTTCTTTAATTTGTGACAATGTCCTTCACAGAGTTCTAGAGTAACACCAATACAGTGCCCACAGGCATCTCCTGAGTACAGAGAGCAGAATGGCTTCCAATCAGTTATAGTCAACTCCAAAAAGAAAATCCATGCCCACTCACCTAAAATGGTGCCTGGCATAGCGCAAGTACATAGTAAATCCTGTATGTGCCCAATATAAGGCAAGGGATTGTTTTTATCATTCGAGAAAAAAATGGAACTGCCAGATATTTGAGTAAAGCATATCTTAAAAGTAGTCTTGAAACACTCGATTAGGAGCCACAAAACGCTTTTTAAAAAGACATGTTGTCTTTACTTTATTATAATTAGGTTTTTTTCCTGGTCCCTTATTTAGGTTTTCTAAATCCCTGCTATGAGTGAGACCATCCAGTATTTTTCTTTTTCTTTCTAGCTTATTTTGCTGAGCATGATTCCTTCCAGCTCCATCCATATTGCTGCAAATTGCAACAAGCAAATACAATCCAGAGACACACTGTGGGGAGGGGGGCAGGAGGGCATAAGATCAAAATCAGAGGGGTGGGAATTGTATGGGGACTATAACCAAGATGAAAATGCATACATTGTGCAAAAATGAAAAATAATGTAAAAAATGTATAAAATTTTAAAAAAAGTATATAAGAAAGACATGTTGTCCTGAAACACCCCAATCAGTATTAGTTGGGGGAACTAAAGGGGTCACCTTGCAAAACTGTAAAGACAAAAGGAAAATCAAGTTAGACTACAAAGCTAAGCACACATTTGACAATGTTATTAAATACTCTTAAAACAGGACTGTTAGGCAGGACTTTTTAAAGCTCCCCTTAAGAAGCAACACATGATGACAAAAATTTGCCAAAAGGCTAATGAAGAAATCAACAGTCCTAACCTTAGGTGGTGGGTATCTGTAACTTGGTACAAACTTTACAGAGACAACATCATTAACTGGTTCAAAACATGTCTCATCTCTAATGGCCCAATGAAGGCAAAGCTGAGTAGTTAGAAGATTCTCAATGACTCTGATGGTGACCAAAACCCTGATGAAAAAGATACAAGTAAATAGTTTGGAAAAAACTACTTTATGAATTGCAAGTGGAACCAAACAGGAATTTTTGCATCCCCCAAGTCGAACTATAACTAAATTAATGAAAAATCAGAGGTTGTATCTTAATACCTAAAACGTTTACCTATCCCAATTGGCTCAAAAGAAGGTTTGACGAGCTTCTCATTGGGAAAATAGGGAACCATGTCATTTATAACCACCTGCTATTAAGACACACATGGTATTTGCTGAATGATAATGGGTACCTATCTTTTAAACAACATGCAGCACTATCCAGCATTCAGCTTTGCTATCAGGAGAAAAGCAATTTCAATGAACAGTACAGAAAGCCTATTTGGAAGTGCTTTTCAGCTGAAGCCTCTGCCTGTCAAACAGGGTTTCTATACTTCATTATTGAAATATTCCCACCTCATTCCTGGCGATGCACTTGGTCCAATGTGCTATTACCCTGAACGGTAGCAAAAGCATAGCATGCAGGACAACTGGTCACCCAAGTAAACCCTCACTGACTATTAAAAATCAATCAATAAAAAACTAAGTGATACTATAATCCTCACACCCACTACTTTTTCCTCTCTGAAAATGATCATTGATTGCATATAATTCAGATTCTCCATAATGCCATAACTTAGTCCGTGTAAGTCCTATGAAGAAATGATTGAGAGTCATACCTAGTTAACACCACAAAAAAGAAGAAAATATGTTCCCTAAAGCATAGAAAGTGATAAACATAGTCCAATAGTTACACATGTCTGTTAAGAAAGCCAACTAATAACCCTAATGTCCACCAATAACAATTAATACCCTGTTACTAAGTATCATTACTATATATAAAGTTCAACCCCTCAGACAATTTTTTTAATGCTACAGATGTCCACAGCTCCAGGAGCTGCCTCAGAGCTATGCAGCTTCTTGTAGCACAGGTGACACCCTATCTCCTGACCAAACACAGTTCACAGAAGATGAAGTGGGAAGTTATCTATAAACATGTGATCATCAAAATGCCTTCGTGCTACTAAAGCATCATTCCAGATATCACTGAGTTTTCCAAGCAGGAGGAGATAAACTGCTTCTTTTGTGAATAAAGCCCTTCATAATATCTTAGATTAAAACAGTAAGGACAGGAGAAAAAGTTTAAAAATCTGTAGCATCAACACTTACAACTGGATTTAATCACAATTAAAACCAAAGGAAAACTATATAATTCCTCTTCATCAGTGACCTTAACTATTCTTGAGTCCAATCTTTCTGATCCACAGGATCACCCAGTTTGGCAAAGAGTGACATTTAACTCTATAGCTCTACACTGAAGTGCTTAAGTTCCTTACCCCAAGATATGGCAGTACTGTAATTCAGTAATTACAACTACAATTGAATAATTATGGAATTGAGTAATTCAAATGGCAAAATTTCCCCAGTATCTCAGTTTTATACACATTGAAAGGATTATTTAAATGAGGTATGCTCCACCAGCTCCTTAATTCATCAAAAGTAGAGGAACATGGTTGTGTTTCCTAAAATTAATGATAATTGTAATAGATCAACAGTTACCTAACAATTCAAATAAAAACTGTATTTTGCTTTTTTAAATAAACATTTCTACATTTAAACAAGATCTAAAACATGAGCACATTTTTGTCACTTAAATCAGCACCCATAGGCTTCTCTTCCCCTTAGTAACAGTTCCAAGGTGGCAGAGGATATGAAATGATGCATTCTAAGTAGCATCTGAAACCAAATCAGGAATCCTGAAACCAAATCTGAAATCCTCAAGATTAGGTCTTTCCACTAAAACAGAAATGTGGTTGCTGTATAATGCAGCTGAACCAAAAACACCTCAAATGATGACCCATATGTGGCACTAATGCACTTGAAGAGCCAGAAGAGAATCAAGGCTTCCTCTCAGACCAAACCCAAGGTGGACTGGGTCAAACATTCCACCAGTTTCCGGATTAACTTCTTCCTTCCCATTAAAGGGTATCCGTAATTTGCATTCTTCCAGCCCCCCAATCACAGGTGTCCCTCTGCTCAACCCTCCCTTGCCTGGCACAAGGTAGGAAGCCCAAGGTCTTTGCAGCAATCAGAAGCCTACAAACACTAAGAGCTAACTTCAGTTCAGGCAGGCCAGGCAGAGGATGTGTGCAGGTCCAGTGTTAGAGGGAAGAAGGGCATTTCTGAGAAAGGAGGGCAAAGTTAAGGAAGCAGAGGCAGAGAGGCCAGGTGTCCACACCGCAGGAGAATGGGATGTTAACAAGCTTAGGACAGGAACCAGGCGCTCTGGGATCACTTGCTTCAACAAAGCAAGTGCAGGTCCTGGGAAGAGGGATTCCAGAAGAGGAGGACAGGAGGACGGACGGACGATACGATACGCAGTTAAGTTTACCAGCGAGAGAGGAAGATGGAGGAGACACTGAGTTCAAGAGTTGGCAAGTGGGACTTGAGGGGTTACACACACATAGGGGGGCAAGCTAGAGAAAGCAGCCAGGGGCAGTGTAGGGCCACCTCTCCCCCGCCCGCCCGCACACTCCCCACACCCGCGCGCACACACATACACATCCCCTGGCGCCACACCGCGAAGCAGGTACCCACCTTTGCCGCCGTGGAGCTCCTGCTGGTCGTCAGCTCCCGCAGGCTGGCGGCGGCGCTGCCCGCGGCGGAGGGGAGGAACACCGGGGAGCCGGGGGCGCTGCCCGCCGCACTACCGGCGCCGCCCGCGAGCGCGGAGGCTCCCCCCGGGCTGGGGCCGGGGCGCGCGGGCGGGCTGCCGCCCGGGCTGGCGCCGGCGCGAGGCCGCTGTCGGATGCCGTCCAGCAAGCGCACGAGCAGGATGTTGGCGGGCAGCTCGTCCACGCCGCAGCCGACCAGGATGCGGCACTCGGGGCAGCGCAGCTCGCGGCGCGAGCACACGATGCTCTCCAGGCAGCGGCGGCAGAAGGTGTGCTGGCACGGCAGCACCTTGGCGGTGGTGTCCAGGCGCTCCAGGCACACCGAGCACTCCAGCAGGTCCAGCAGCGACGACTCGTCCATGTCCTCGTCCGCGCCGGCGGCCGCGACCGCCGCCCCGCCCCGCCGCCCGCCCGGCTCCTCGTCGTCGCCCTCGCTCTGCGCAGCGGCCGCCCGGGACGCGCACGGCCAGGGAGCCCCGAGCAGCATGGGGAGGCGCCGCGGCCGCCTCGGTGCGGGGGCCGAGGCGGGATCCCCGGGGAGCACGGCCCCGCGGCGCTTCCTCGCCTGCGGCGGAGAACAGAGCGACTGCCGGCCGCGGAGCCCGACCGGTCCTCGGGACCAAGGCGCTACGACCCCGGCTCACCTGTGCCGTCCCCGCGGGCACCTAGGGGCGCCGGCAGGCACGATCCCCGGTGGACTCTGAGCTCCCAGCGGCCGCCCGCGGCCCAGAGCCCCGCGGCGGGAGGAGCGAGGCGCGGCCGGTCGGGCTCCCCGGGAGAACTGGGCGCCGCGCGCGCGCCCCCCGCGCATCCGGAGAGTCCCGCCGCCCCCGCAGCGCCTCCATGCGCCCCGCGCTGCGGGCGAGAAGCCGTCCCCGCGGGCTCCGCCGGCCCCGCCGCCGCCTCGGCCTCGAGCACGTGCACGGGGCGCGCGGGGGTCACGGCCACTGCGGGGAGCAGGGAGGGAAACAGCGCCCGCGGGCGGCCGGCCCTGCCCCCGCGGGGTCCTCCGGAGCTCCGGGACTAGGGGGGCCCTCCGCGCAGGCCGGGCCCCATGCCCTCCGTCACCCGAGTCTTCCCTCGGCTCCGAGAGCCTCAGAGCCGGCGGCTTCCTCCCTTCGCCGCCACGAAGGAAAGTTTGGGCGCTGTTCCCCCGACTGTCCTCGCCGGCCCCGGCGGGCGGCTCGGAGACACGGCCAAGCCCCCGCGCGCTCCTCGACGACACCCGGGCGCCCCGGGCAGGCCGGGTTCCAGGCGGCGCCCAGCGGGGCCGCGCGGAGCCGCGGGCGGGCGCCGGCCGAGGCCAGAGGGCGGCGGTGGGGCTGGCGAGGGCGCCCCGCGCGGCGCGGGCTCCTCCCGGCGGCAGCAGGCCCTCGCGGGTCAGAGTGGGCGCCGCCGCCCGCGGGCCCCGCACCCGGGCCCCGGCGCCTGGCCGCCGGCAGCACCCCCGCCGGGCCGTCCCCGAGCCCCGCTCGGCCTCCGGGGGGCGCCGGGAGGGGCGCGCGCGGTCTCCGGCCCGGGCTCCGGAGCGTCAGGGCGGCGGAAGTGCGTACGGGCCGCGAGCGGGGCGCGGGCGGCGGGCCGGGCCGGGCCGGCGGGATTCCCTGCCGCGCGCTGCCCCCTGGCGGCCGCGCCGCTTCCCCGCGCGCCCGCTCAGCCTCACGCCGCGCGGGGGGGCCCGACTCGCCAGGCCTGGCTCTCCCGGGACGCCCCTCTGAGGTGTGCGGTCGGGTGTAAGTGTTTGGATTTTTCAGAGAGAACGTAGACTCTGTTGAGCCTTAAGTGCCGAGAACAAGCCTGTGCGTTGTTCTGTTCGATCCTCGAAACAGCACTGCGAGCATTCTAACCTCGTTTTACATGGGAGAAAGGTGAGGCTCATAATTACAAAATCATGGAGACTGAATTTCCTTCATTTTTGCATCTCCTAACCCTAACCCACAGAAAAGATCACATGCCACGCGACTGTCAGCTGCATGTGTTTACACTGTAATTATTCCTGACGCTGAGGGCAGTGTCTAGGACATAGTAGGCTCAGAACCATCCCCTGGTGGGGATTTGAACTCAGATCCTATCACTACCTCAATCCCAGGTCCCCTGGGCGCCTATCAAGCTTCTCCTTCATGGAAACTGCTGCGATGGCAGCCGGAGACTGCCAATTTGCTTTGGAGGGGGAGAGGAGGCAGAGGGGAGGGGGCTGTCCATGGTATGCATTTCATGCTTACTAGTCTCCTCAGCACTGGCACCTGTTTGAGGTAGAGGGCATCGCTGAGCGGTCCTGCTGACTGAAACCTCAGCGCAGGCCTCTGGGGGCGCTGAGGAAGGAGCACCCATCACGATGCCCAGAAACACCTTCATATTATCCTCTTCTTACTCTTTGATCTTTCCCACAGGATAAGCAAAGGGGAACTCTGGAGAGGACCCAGAATGCTTGACACAAAAACAGGTGGCATGGGCACAGGACACAAGGATGACCCAGATCCTGAGGGGACCGTGGGACACAGGGAACACTATAGAGAGCACGGTTGCTTATGGTGACATGTCCTGGGTACTTCGGTTGTGAGCAATCAAACAATTTCTGGCTAGGTTTTCAAAGGTGACAAATAGATGATGAGGATCAGGAGCACCTTGCAGGAGCCCAGCTGGTACTTGGCCAGCTTCTTACACACAGGACCCTATCTTGCTTGATCCTTCACTGTATTGCATCAGATGCCTCTACTTCCCAAGCCATGTGATGGGAAACCCAGTCGAAGTTCCAGGAGCTTTCAATACAATGACTTTAGCTCTGACAGGCTCTCATCTGATGCTGTCACAGGCTTGAAGTTTAAACTCTGTCATCTACATGGCCCGAGGGAGTCATTCTTTGGACCACTGTGTGCTGGCCATGGGAAACAGGATCACAAACAAGCTGCAAACACAGACTTAGTCAGAGGCTGGACAGGGCGTGCAAGTGAGTGAAGCAGGGCTAGGGGTGGTGATGGAACAAGATGGAGACCGCAGTGAGCCATGCCCACGGCCAGGCATAGCTGCCACTCAGCCCCAACCAGTCACACATTGCTAGGAGGTAGACCCAGCATTGCCAGTTGCTGCTGCTGCTTAAGAGAAATCAGAAGGCCTCCTTTTTCACATGAGATCTCCTGTGTTGAACACTTGGCAACCAGTTCAGCTCTCAAAAAAACATCATCTCTGTCCAACGCAATGAATGTGTGGTCATATTGGTCCTGGGGCCACTAGTTTGCAATTTCTGGGTGAAGTAACCAAATAAAGGAATTTAAGGGTGTGAACTAAATAGTTGAAGTATTACAAATGCAGTTTTAAATTACTCAGTTATATGTGCATGTAGTCAATAAGTCAATTATATAAGGAAATGATTGAGGAGACCTTTCACATGAAAAGAGCTTGGGGATTCAGTTTGACCACAAGCATAACATGAGCCAACATGAGTCTTCAGTATAGTAAGGCTGCCTGGAAAAGTCATGAAATCTATACTGCATTAATGGAAGTGAAAGATATGGATATGGAAAGAAAGAATCCCATTGTACCTTGGGTTTGTCAGACCTCATTTCCAGGATTACTTTCAATTCTGTGTGCCAAATATTAATGACAGTGTGGTAGGGGGTTCTAGAGGTCTTGTCCTTGAATCGAGGATGATAGAACAGAGAATGTCCCCAGAAAAAGTTCAGAGGAAACAGGGTAGGGTAGCTATATGTCAGGTTTGAGGCTGCCCAAGATCAGAGCTCCTTTTTAAATTTGGGAGACTCTCCACTTGGTAAAGTCAGATATTTGTTTTTCCACTTAAGGATTAGTCACAAGCTGAGCCCTACCACAACCAGTAGAGGTAGAGAGGTAGAGGGAGGATGCAAGCCCAGCATCACAGAATTCCAGCTGCAGAAGTAGGTGGAAGGCATGGCAGGGCTGATAGCAGCAGCAACCTGAACCCGGTGCGAGCCTGATTAGCAAATCAACCTGTGGTTTCTGTCGCCAGAATATCCTTAGGCATAACTGGGTTGGGGAACCTAAGTTTGACCTCCACTGCTTTGCCAGCCTTCCTAAGGATCCTGTGGGTTTCCTGGCTTTATCAGTTTTTTGCTTCTCGGGTTTGTTTTGTTTGTTTGTTTTTGTTAAATCAGCCAGAGTCAGTTTCTGTTGTTCATGACAGAGAACCCTAATGGAGACATTATTTATCGTCATACACCTATGGTGAACACTCAGTATGAAAGTGTTGTCACTAAGCTGAACAGCAACTATTTCTTGGCCTTCATACTAGAAGGTATCAAAGTGAGCTCCTTAGAGTTCTGGTCATTCAATCAGTAAGCTGTTTCTGACTGTTCTACACTTGGTGTACCACTAAGTCAGAACAGCTGCCAACAATGACAGGCAGGGTGGTGTAAGAAGTAGACCCTGCCCTGTGGTTACAAGAACCCCAGCTGGGCTAACTCAAGTGACATCATGTCTGTGGACCTCAGTTATGTCTCAAAAAAAAAATGCAAGATGAAAATACTTCACCTCTTTGGAGGTTTGAGGCCTTTGAGATCTCTACAACTAAATAGCCTATCATAATAATATCTTTGTATTGCCTTGTTATTAGGAGAAAAACGAAAATGAATTAAAGTTAGGGAGAGGCAGGTTTCAGTTAGACTTAGGGAAGTGCTATCCAACAGCAGCTCTGGCAGTCTTCGGAGGTGGAGCCCCTCATACCACAGGAATTCAAGCACACATTATGTCAGCTGGGCATCTCATCACAGACATTGTGATCTCTTCTGCCCCTCTCCCACAAAGCCTCTCTGTGGTGGATTTAAGGTTCTTACCAGTCCAGCACCCCTTCCTTTGGGGAACCTCCCCCTTCCATGTCCATGTGACCCTCACACACTCGTAACCAACACTCCTGCACTTGTGTCCCCAACAGAGTCAGTGAGATCAGGAGAAAAAGAGGGGAGAGAGAGGAGGATGCAAGAGAGTCCTAATGGCATCATTTGGCCATTTCAGCCGTCACACGTGACACAAAGGAGTTGGCATCAAGTACACCTAATTTAAGGTACCTTATGACGCCTTGCTTCTTGGGTTTGTTTTGTTTGTTTGTTTTTGCTTTCTTTGTTTGTTTTAGGTGAAGCCTCCCTAAAGTCCCTTATGATCCCACCATTGCTTCAGTTCATTGCAGTTGGGTTTTTGTCATTTGCAACCAAATGAATTTCAATCAAAGCACTGATAAAGCAATGAAATACATACATTTCCCTCCTTGGGGAGAAACTTCCTTCCCCTTATAAATTTATCAAACCTTGATTTTATGTATTTAACGTCTTGCTTTTTCCTTGTATTCTGAGAGTAAAGGGCCTTTCCACAAAGAAACTTCAAAACAAAGCCAGGGAAGGAATCTTTGCAAAGATGACCTCAGAATTGCTGACTCCCACTTCCCTTTTATTTCCTGTAACTAAATAACTCTCCCTACCCTCTGCTACTGAGCTTGTCTTTCCGACTCTAGTCTGCTGCCCT